TAACTTCTTTTTGTTTTCTATAATATACTCTTTTCCTACTTGGATTAACATTTTCGTAATAATCTTCTTCTTGTTCAAAATTATCTTTAGGTAAAATCCTATAAGATTCATTCATTTATAATTTTTTTCAATCATATAAGCTAACGGCTCTTCTTTTACATCAAGTGGACACTTCTTATAGCTTTGATGCATTCTTAAAATTATCTGGTATAAAATTATCTGGTTGATGCCACTGTACATGAAAAATATCACATCTAGTAATCTTATCACAAAAGATAACAAGTAATTATATTAGGATCTTTAAGATCATTTAGATAATTGTATCCTTGAATTTTTCGAAGAATTTTTTAAATTTCTTTGTACATTTATCATTAATCTTGACTCCCTAATAATAGTTCTAAATAAATAGAGATTAATGATATTAAAATCTAAACAGTATATTATCAATCTAAATAGATATTGCTTTATACAATAATTAGAGGAGGAGAAAAGAGTCGTCGATAATGAAAAGTGAGGGAAGAAGAGGATAACAATAACGGAGGAACTTTCGGATGACGACGATGATGGTGAAGGAAGATGTAGATGATAACAATAACAACAAAGGAAGCTTCGGATGATAGCAACGATGGTGGAGGAAGCTGCAAATGACGATGTTATGGGCGGAGGAAGTTTTAGAAGTGTTCATTGGTCACGAAGGAAGCTACGATCCTCTTCCTCTAAGGTGAAAGAAACAACAGTGGAAGGAACTACGCATGAAGGCTAGGCTATCAGACTCGTCCGTCGATGACAAAGAAATCATCATTAATTTTTGCTTTGTGGCGGAAATTATCATTAATTTTTTATCCTTTCTTTCCAGTAAACTAAACTGAGATAATGTAGTGAATTCTTTGGAGAAAAAAAAGTAATGAATTCTTCACTCTATAAAAAATGTAACTTTTTGACACCAAAACAATAGATAAAACTTCAATTCAGTTATGTGCAATCTCTAGTGCATTCATCTTACCATCTAGCAGAAGTTTGTGGGTTGATGGCTAACCAGCTGAATGGCATTTCTATAGACAGGAAGAATGTTTACATTAGAAAGTTGATAGAGTACTCATTTCTAGCTTGGACCAAATAGACAAGACAAACAATAGATATGCCACTGAGAAATTGATCAAACAAAGTATATTCAAGGTTTGAATGGAAAGATTTAGGTGACAATGTCAACATTAAGTGTACTAAAGATACAAAAGAAGCCAGCCTTCCTGTAGATTTAGAAATACCAGAAGATATGAAACTACAAGATCCAAATCAAGAACTAAAGATAACTGCAACAGCAAACCATATAAGGAACAATTTTGAGACCAGTAGAATTGAAACTACATGACCCAAATCAAGAACTAAAGATAACAGCAACAGTAAAGCATATATAGAACAATTTCAACAAGCCAAAGTCCCCCCCTAGCATTTGATAAGTTTTTTCACAAGGAAACTTCTAATAGAAGCGGCTATTCATGATTCATGGTGTAGAAATGGCGCAGGTGTCTAATTTATTAATTATCACTGCATCAACAGCCGATACGCCTCGTTGTTCATCTCATATGTAAACTCATATCCAAGATTCTGAGCTCCAATCTTGAACTCTTTCATATCGGCCTTAGAAACTTGGATGCCGACCAACACATTTGCACCAGTCTCACCCTATGAAGCATAGAAATCAGAAGTCAGAGGAAATAAATATAGTACTCCTTTGTTCTTAATTTGAAAAAAGGAAATAGCCGAAGGAGAAAAATAAAATATATGCTCTGATCTTTATATACAAAGTTAAACCCATGTTAAGTCTCTCTTGGTATGCATATCCCAGTGTGATGTCACTGATATGACAACTCTACAAGATGAATAAATTAAAAAAGAACCAGATGATGCAAAATAACATACCTGTGCTCGATAATGGAACAAGCTGATATTCCAACGTGGGCTAAAGGAGTCCAAGAATTTCATTAGAGCTCCTGGCCTCTCAGGGAAGATAAATCGGCAAAGTAGTTCATCTTGAACATTTGATCGCCCTCCCATCTGAAATGAAGTCAGTAAAAACAGTGTTCATGTTGATTACCACAAAGACACCGGCATACACAGAATCTTTTACTGTAATAATTTGATAGAGATGGACAGACAAGCAATTAGATTGGAGCTCTTTCAATGTTTGTGATGCATGTAGTCATGTTTTGGCTCAGTGCATTGATGCCAAATGTTGGATAAATTGGGGGACAATAAATCTACTGAAATCTAATTATCAGGTTGGTTCCTTTTCTGTTCATGGAACTTGTAGAAGCTCATATAGTTCTCAGCTGCCCTACATGAATGGTAGACGAAACTAACTGCTTTTTCAAAAAATAGAAAATTGAGAGGCAAGAGTCTAGATTTTTCTAGATGAGGACCGAGGCAATGGAAGTAGGAGCATTTTAAATTAGAGAAGAAGGGAGAAGAACAACGAGAAAATGAAGAACATTGAGAATGAGAAAGAGACTACTAGAGAGGGTGATAAGAGGAAGAGTCACTGTTGATCACTAACATGATAAATCAAACTTGCACAATCATATGAACTATGCTTTTGGCAAGGCCATACTTGCTAGCTACTGCATGTACAGATGGAGTTGGTCCACAATTCTCTCAAAATGAAGCTATTTCTTTAGAGATGCGAAAGCATGAAGACATAATCACTTTGATGTTGGATATTCGTATAGTTGTATATGCACAGAGTAAACACACTTCTGTACATAGCAAACATTTTGTGCATTATCAGTATCTTCATTTCTAAAGTAAATATCATATAGAAACTTGTTAATTTACATGATAAAGTGTCATGTCAAAATTAGTGTCAGATAAGTCTGTCAGTTGCAAGCCCAATCCTAGTATCCAATACCCATCTAAGCCAAAATAACACAAAAAAACAATAAACTAAAAATCTGGATGCAGACAGGCATCAAGAGAGGCGAGCTAGCACAATCTGACAACAACCATTATGAACAATAAAAACATGTATTTGTAAATTCTAATAAGATGGTAGATGTCAAAATATTCCATAAGGCAAGAGACATACAAAGTATCGCAGATGATCTTTTGCTAAGTCATCACTGGTGAGGTTAAAAGTTTTAAGTTGTGCATGTTCCATTCGATGTATCATTGCTGCAAGTTCCGAGTCAGTATGAACACCAACACTGCAATAATGTATTTAAAAAGCTTTGATAATACAATTATTATGATAAGATATAAAAGGAAGTCTAACATGATAAAGAAAACTTCAGAAAGGTCAAAACAGCAAAAAGTGAAAAGAAAAATAGTTCCAATCATTTTAGAGGTTTGTTCATACAAGCATCAATGCAAAACTTGCCTATAAAGAACAAGAGCATGTTCTTTACGTGAATCATATCTGTACTTGAACTCTGTAATATTCATAGGGCCAACCTACAAAAGTTCATACGATCAAAATCCAAATTTCATTCCTGAAAAGAAAGTATTCATGAAGTGAATCTATCAAACATACCAGTTTACAGAATTTTTTAAAACTCCCTTGCTCCTCTGGTAGATGAGTTGCCAGAACAGCCTCGCGTTTCCTACCAACATCAGCTAGTTCAGTTACCAGCCTTAGCCTATCAAAATTCATGTTTGCCCCACTAGTTATTGCAACAATATTCTCATCTTTCAAACCATAGTATCTGCAGTAGGCTTCTGCACCAGCTAGAGCGAGAGCACCAGCTGGCTCTAGTATGCTCCTTTTCTCCTCAAACATATCCTGTATTGCAACAAAGACTTCTCAAAATCCAAATTAATCTCTGTTAATTTCTACCACTTTACAAAATTGCAGGAGGGTGCAAAATTCAATATCTACAAGAATCTAACAATTCAAAAATTAAGAAAGCCCAAAGCCTTAAGACAACAGTTTCTTAAAATGTTCACTCAAAACATTATCTTGAAATATTATCACTGTTGGAAAGCATTGTGAAACTGTGTTATGTATCACCAAGAAGAATCATTGATCAGCCATGGATATTGAGGAACAAACTCACTAACAACCTTATTAGAGTCCCTTCCTTTTTTGTTAATCAAATACCACGACTGACATAGCATAACTATTGCAGAATGTTATGCATAGAGAATTATGTATTTAACTACAAAGAGCTTCTCATAAAAAACTAATAAAAGCCTCAGCAACATAGTCCCTTTTCAGAAGTATGGTTAACCAAAATAATCATTCTAAATTATCTTATGCCATTAAGCTTCTGGATACAAAATTCTATTTTGCTGACAGAGAAATCATAACCTTCTACCCACCAAGAAGCCAATAAAATTTTGCAGCCTCTTGTAATACAAGTTTGCACGTACTATCTTGCTTATCCAACAGAAGGTTCAAATTGATATGACAATGTATTAACTAGTCATTCGTATTGCATAACAACCATTGAGCTTCTACTGATATAGTGACAGTTTCACTTTCATATCAACGTAAGAGGTTTAAACCAAAAAAGGCATGACCATTTAAACTTAAAATTCATGGATTGTTGAACAGTTTATCTTCTCTCTTAATAGAAAAAGAAATATGCAAGTTTCTAATTTTCCAACAATTTTGCTTTCACATTAATGGTCCCTAAGAAATGAATATGAACTCTGAATAAGATTAATAAAGAAATAATAGAAAATAGATATTTTCTGCAAAATGAATGAAACATTTACATCAACTTGTCATGGCATTGAATCCTCACTATTTGGGTTGTTTTAGGTCCACCAATCATCCTTTGCCATTCATATCTTCTTATGTTGTTTCTGAGACATTTTATATTAATCTCCCTATGCATAGCATGGAGCTTCTAATTTGAATTGACTCATTTCTCCTTAATGATCTATTTAGTGGTCTTTTTGGAGGCATGCAAATTACCATATTATGATGATGGTAATTAAAACACACAATCACATAGAGATACAAGAGAAGAATTATTAGTAGCAATCAAAATTACAACCAAATAAAATATACTAGGAACATGTTCTTTAGTGCAGAACTTATTGTCCCTTCTATGGGCTAGGACTCAAGGATCAGTGGCACAAAATCCTAAATGTTATGAGACTGACCTACTAAATCAATGAACAAGAGAAATGGAATAGAACTTCACCTTTATAGATGCACAAATAGCATCACGACTAACAAGAACCACTCCATCAACAAGTTCCCTGCACAGGCGAAAAGTTTCTTCTCCAACCACTTTCACAGCCACACCATCTGCAAATCCTCCCACTTGCTCTAGCATGATCCTCTCCCCATGATATAGAGACAATGCCATTGCATTTGCGTCAGAAGGCTCTACTCCAATGATCTTTACCTGTTGAGAAAGCTCAATTAAATGAACATCTCTCAAGGAGGATTACTCACTTTATTCTAATTTAATTTAATGATATAGCAGTTGTTTCATCCCTTCTAATCATGCATTTCATGTTTAAAACTTAATATGAGATTAATAAGGAAAACTAAGTGCATGAGACTCATACTTCTACCAATATGAGATCTGAGGGTCAATATATACGACATTCTCCTGCAAGCAGACAGAATATTTCTTAACTAGAATCCAGTCACCCAGTTCACAAAATGAGTGACCTTACCATGGCACTAAGGCTTACTAGAGGAAAAATTCACTACCAAGGTAGTTCGAGCAAACACATTCTAAAGTTGCTAACTTATATAATAAAATAACTATATTACAAGGTAAGAAATTTAAAGACCTGACCATGACTTAATAACTCATGAGAATGCATCTTGTGGATCACAGTCAAACTGAGATTGATGGCCATGACTCAAGAACAAGTTCTATGCACATATACAGAGACATTTTACACTTCTATAAAAGTAATTTTCAGAAAAAGAAAACGAGTTGTTTGTCTTGGAAGAGTTTACTGGAAAGTAGAAAGAAAACAAATAAAAAAAATTTATACTATGTCATTTAGTTACCAAATGTTCAATTTTTAATGAGTGGTTTTCTTTTGATAATCACCAAGTACTTAATTTAAAATAAGTTCAACAAAAATAGAAATACACAAAATATATCCAGTCACTATCACTTCTCATCGGTTACAAACACATTTTCTACAACATTTTCTATGAAATAATTGAGGATTACAAATATAGAATCATGCCTGATGGTTGCTAATAAAACCAAAAATAATTTATCATGCAAAACCAAGGTCCGCCATACCGTACCGTACCGGAGTTTCGACCCGGGCTTAGTACGGTATGGTACCGGTGTACCGGGTGGTACACCCTGGTGTACCGATAATTTTATATTTTTATACTATAGCAGTGCTACAGTGTAGTACTGTAGCACTGTAGCAGTACCGGGTGGTCCGCGTACCGAGTACCTGTCAGACCGGTACGTACCGTCTGGTACGGGCGGTACGCTTCAGTACGGGCGGTACGCTTCGGTATGGACGGTACGCTTCGGTATGATAGACACTGTGCAAAACACATACAAGATTATCATTTATCATTATTCATTAGTTACATTTACATATTCTCATTCACTTTGTACAAAAAAATTATGGATAACATATACAGAACCATGCTTCATGTTGCTAAACAGACGAAACATAAATTATTACAAATCTCTTGCTCAATGAGTGCAACAAAATTATGGACTATGCCAAAAATAATAATTCACCCTTTTCACAAAAATGAATGTAAAATAACATGAAAGATATGACCATGCAAAATCTTTAGTTTTCATTGATCTACTTCTGCTGGTTCACTGATCCAATTTGGAGATGGACTGCTTATGGATGTATGCCAGTTCCATCAATATATTTTCATTACTCCATTACTAAAACACAATAAAACAAAAATCCATATATTTTGTTAAAAAGATCAATACCCATCTTGAATGCTTCTTCACCAATAAGTTTTTCAAAATTTTGTAGCAATCTGAAATGGAGGATAAATGCAGTTTAAGTAACATAGAGATTTACCACCATGCACAAACCTCTGGGCGAACCCGTTTTACATAAGCAGCAATTCCTGCTATCAATCCACCACCTCCAACTGGTACAAATATTGCATGTAGTGGACTACTCATTTGGCGAATTATTTCCATTCCGATTGTTCCCTGGCCTGCAATAACATCATGATGATCAAATGGAGGTATGAATGTCCGACCCTCCTGGTCTCCACGTTGCTTTGCATGTGACTGTGCTTCATCATAAGAGTCCCCCTTAAGGACAACTGTTGCACCTAATCTCTCAACGGATCGCCACTGAGAGGTAAAAATAATGTACATCCAATTATACAAAAACCAAGAAACAAGCACATGAAGTATGACACTTTTTTCCAAGTGGCCATTGTAGAAAGAAGCGATTAACATTCAGGCATGTAGAAACCTTGATTTCTGGCGTTGTCACTGGCATTACAATCACTGCATCACAACCTAGTCTCTGAGCAGCTAAAGCAACTCCTTGGGCATGGTTTCCAGCCGATGAGCAGATAACACCCCTATCCAATTGCTCCCTTGGAAGTTTAGCCATCATATTGTAGGCTCCTCGCAACTTGAAGGAGAATACCTGCATATTTAATATATATGTCACTAACAATCAATTAAAATATTGATTGAAGAACATATCATCGAATCTATATTGAACTAACCACAAAACATATTGCAAAGCAAGTTCATAACCTCCCGTGGCTGATTTACTATAGCCAGATAACTGAAGAAAGATGGGTCATTACCATATTGTCATGGACAAACTTCGAAACAAGATGTTTGATGTAATGCTTATGTATGTCTGTGTCTTTTGGTATGTTCATGCTTTGTACAACATGTAGAGGGATGACCGAAGGCTTAATAGTCCCATTTTAGTAGGATTGATGACATCTTTAGGCTTGTAAATAAAGGTTGTGTCATGTGGATACGTGTGAGAGATTTTCGGTCTGTAATGGACCATTTTACCCTTTGGTGTGCATCTGTTCAGAGCTTGTAAAATCTGTTTGTAATTTGCATTGTCTATGAAGTGTTTTTCGAAGATGTTTGCTTGTGGATCCCGATTGAGGCGTTCTCTCTAACCCGTTCTCTCTTTTGTTGGTCCTCAGGGACGGAGGCTTCGGGGAGGCTGACCTTTGCGGACGGACACGCAAGAGTACCGCACGACTTAGGCAAAACCAGCTAAGTCCGTGACAGATGGTATCAGAGCGGGACAAGCACTCATAGAAACACTTAGCATGCAAATGTGGGGGACCTAGTGGGGCTGCGTTGAGGGCAGTTAGCACACGTGCGACCGTTTGGGGGAAAACAGGCATGGAGATGTAGGGAAAAGGAGTCGCTCGGAGGAGCGGGCATCTGAGATTGACATTCAGAGGAATGGCCAACCCTTCGCGCAAGAGGCACCACGAGAACAGACAAGCTTGGAAGAATGCGGAGCGCACAAAGGTTGGGATGACTGAGTTTGAGCTACAGCTCAACGTTGACAACTATACTTGATGGTGCTCAAGACAAGCGAGGCACTTGGTAAAGGATGAGACCATGCAAGGTGGAATGAGTTGCTCAACGACCAAAAGAGTTATGCAAAGCTCACAGAGGTGAGGGGAATTGCTAAGTCGAAGAATTTGGTACTCATGCATGGGCTTGTATGCGGACGATGGAATGTTCGTGGCCATCCCAAGGCGACCGAAACTCGGCGCCATCGAGCATTGAAACTTTCTCTTCGGCATGCGAAGGATACGTCTGTAGGAGGCTGAAGTGTACAACGAGTTCAGCATGTTGCTAGGCCTTGAGTGGTGCAGCAGGGGCTGTATTGATGTGGAGTCGCAATCTAGCAAGTGCGCAGGAGGCAGAACAATGCACAGTTTGTTCAGCAGATCGGAGTAGTCCAAGGGGATGGTGGTCTCCGAAACGAAGAGAGATGTTGCTCCAATGGGACAGTTATCCAGGAGGGATAAGTCCCGGCTCTCCAGAGGGAGGAATATATGGGACAGACCTCACAAGTTGAGGAGGAGTACCTCAACAAATAACAACTCCACGAAGCTCAATGGACTGAGCAAGCGGCGATGAGTTGTTGCATGATCTCGCTCGAGAGAATGCATTGGTGGATGCATTGCGAGATCAAGTGGGGAAGCGACCCAAAGCAACACAAATGAAGGCACACTTAGAGTCGATATGGAGATCAGACTCAAGGAAGGGCTGACCCGTGGAATGGTGGGCACGAGGGCCACTATCGACTCAATGCAAAAACGAGGAGCGGAGCAACTTGGGTGTAACTTGGCGAAGTACCCAAGCCGCATGAAGGGAGCCAGCAGAGAAGTTGGAACATGGAGCAGAGGCACAATGCTTTCCTTAGACATAGGTCAAGGACATGAACTCTTGTAGAGGTAAGAGTAGGATCATGTTGTTCCATGGGTCCTTCATTCTAACGGAATGGACTCATCTTGCATAGTACCAAAGACGAAGGGAGCTTTTGGGCACATGCACCTTATCTCGGAGAAACATTTGATGGAGGAACTAAGGCGACTCAACTTATGAAGGCGAAGTTGGGTTCGGAAGGCCTTGGCACGGGGCAAGAGGACGCGGAGGCAGATACTCTTGAAGAATATGCCATAGTGTTGTCATTCAAGTTGCCATGAAGGAAGCGGTGCGTAGCGGAGATTATGCTGGTAGGGGCAGAGGCCCAGGATCCAGACAATGGTGCACAAATTACAGTGAAGTCGGTGGACTTCGGGAGCTACTAGGCGACGGACTGTCCTAGAGCGGTGCTTCATCCAGGTGTGACCCAAGAGTGGGTGGATGAAGGTCGATTGCCAAAGGAACGAACAAAATTGAAGGTGGAAGAGACCCTGCGATGTATTGGCAGAGGCCACACATGAAGGGTTCACAATTCAAGTTCCTCCCACAAGGATCAGAATGCAATAGAGATGTCACCAGGAGGCGACATGGTGCAGCGGATCGTGGTGGAACAGTTCGTGGCAATGCGATACACACAACATAGTCCCGTAAGGGACTAGATCATACAGAGGTATGATTGGGAGCTACTGGAAGCTCCACTTCGGTGAACAACACGACGATAAGAAGGGCTATGGATTCAAGGAGTGAAGGCCATGGTACCGCAGAGGTGGGTCTTCCGGGCGTGCATCGAATTTTGCATCGGATGAAAGCCTTGGTCATCAGCATATGGGGGCTGTGTTCCACCAAGGGAAAAGTTCGAATGCAAGTACCAGTGAGTCCCATGGGAGGGACTTGATCATGCAGAGGTATGATCGAAGCAGCTGGAGAGTTGGACTGCTCCAGAGCTTATATTCGCTTAAGGGAGCCCGATAAGTCAGAGGACAAGGTCGAGTAAGCGAACGTTGCTACCAAGGAAGCCAAGGAGAATAGAATCGGTGCAAACCCTACAACGTGATGGCAGAGGCCATGCATGGGAGTTGCAGTCTGTCTTTCCATCGACCAAACAGATTGCTTGGAGAACACAGAGGTGTTGAAGTAGGGGGTCGAAAGGGGCGAGGAAGCGACGACGAGTCCAGAGGGACTTAGCTACCCAAAATCAAGCATCAGTTAGAATGGAGGTGGACTCAGAGGAGTGTCACAGAGGCATATCTACTGATTGTGAAGAAAAGGGATATAGATACGAGGCGACGGATAGTAGTGCCATGGGCATGGCAGCGCCATGGTACCGCAGAGGCGGGACTTCCGTGAAAGTCATTGATCCCTTGCTCTCATGGAGGGAGAGCGCTTGGTCGTGAAAGGGGCCGAGGAGGTGGAGCATGCAGAGGCAATCTTCAAGTACCGAGACAAGGCTGAAGAGCAGAGGCCGAGGAACTTCGTAAGACCAGTGTCAATGAGCTTCTCATCAAGATAGCCAAAAGTGAAGGACTTCGGGTCATGCAAGAGTGCATAACCAAGGAACGAAGCAGGCAGTACGCGATGATGTACCTTTGCTACTCAGTGGAGTAGGCGGCAGGGTTGATGGAGAAGACGGTACAATCCCAAAGGCGACCAAACCTACGAGAGAATTACTCCAAGTTGGGGTGAAAACTTCCCACATTCCAAAAGTTCGATGGCATTGAGAAGGTGAATCACAGTAGTTAACTCAACGCAAGGAGTGCAAACACTTCAAGTGATTCAGAAGTGTGAGCAAAGAGCAGGCGAAGGCCAGTAACCAGCTCGATGCATGAAGTACAACCTCGAGAAGGCGGGCGAAGTCAAGTAACCTTTGCCTTCTCAACTCTTAAGAGAATGGGCAAAACCGAGTATCTCAATTCTTTTATCTATCCAGCAGAGGAGCTCTGCATAAGTTCAAAGACCCTTCGAAGATAACGAAAGACAATAGTTGTCAAATCCTCACCAACGGTGAT